CACACACACACACACACACACACACACACACACACACACACACACACATACACACACACTCACACACACACACTCCCAAGATTGGTGCATCCCCACTTTGCACTTCCTCCCTCGTTTTTCCTCCGTCGCTTTTCCTGTACTCATAAAAAAACGATCGTCATTCTGGCCTACTTCGACCTTCCTCCTTCCCTTTTCCTCTACCCATGAAAAACGATAGTCATTATTTCCTTCTGATCTTAAGTCTAGCTTTCTTCTATTCTGTCTGTCCAGGTAAAATCGGCTCTTGAGGATATGTTCAGCGTGAGATGTCACCCATTGCTGAGCAGTGGCGCTACTGTCGTGGACTACGAGGAGGCCAACCAAGGACCATACGACCGCACATCGGATGTGGAGCCTTTCTGTGGACGCTACTCTGCCAAGAACCCCGGCTGGATCTACCACAAGGGCAATGGAGACGATGACGTCGGTGTCCCAGTCTCCACCAGCAACAACCGATATGTGAGTAGTAGTCCCTATCGGGATCAACAAAAAATCTCAAAGTAATTACCGTTGTTTTACGCTCCCTTCGACACGATTTAATAATCTAGGAGGCCGGCTGCTTCGACCACGCCTGTCAGGTCAGGGTCATCCGGGTCTAAGAGGGATACATCCCAGTAGACAGACGGAGATACTTGATTAAAAAAATAACTCCCCACACACAGAAATCGAACTCATGTCATCTGCGCGCAACGGTTGAGTGTCTTACCGCTATACTCCAGACAGAAGTTATGGGATGAGCTAAAACGGAAAAATAAAACAAAAGCACTAAGAATATTCACACAAAAATGTCGTCAACACTAGCTTGAGACAAACGTGTAACTCTAAATACATGCCCCGTTGTTGACATTAGTGCATTAGGAACAGTGAATAATACTCGCATTCCAGATTTTTGAAGTTTCATCACGAAGATGGTGAAAACAGAACTGAGCAGCGGGCACGATTTGGAGAGTCTTTAGCATTATTTATTCTTTATATTCAGGAAACTCGATCCATTGCACAAAAAAGTTAATTGTAACTATCAATGATCAAGACGTAGATGTCTTCATGAGTACAGATACATGCGTGTAGATAGATAGATAGATAGATAGATATATAGATAGATAGATAGATAGATAGATAGATAGATAGATAGATAGATAGATAGATAGATTTAAGAAATATTTCAATTAATGGACAGTACATTGCCTTTTTGTATGAGCATTTTCTATTGTCTGAAAGAATGTTGCTGTCAAAGCGGGCGCACATGATGAATTTGTTCGGTGTTAGTGTTAGTATGAATGCGTTTTTTATGTCCTATGTACGCCTTGGGCCCATGTTGTGGGGAAAGGCGGGATACAAATGCTCTTATTATTATAATAGATATCACATGTGATGTGTCTTGTATGTGTTAACATTGTTCCTCTTTCACCCCTTTCTTCCAACCCAGCTTTGTTTGGCCTACATGGGTCTCGGCAAGGTCAGCCGCGTGAACGTCGTCTTTGACTATAAGAACATCGATAATGACGACGCTGTGGGCGGTGTGAACTTTAACGTTGACGACTCAACACCCGACGTGTGAGTTTTCGTAGTTCTCTCCTCAGCTTATAAGAAGCTTTACTTTCTTATTGAGCTTGCTTTGCAAGAAGCTAGAGTTGTCATAAATTAAACTGCTACGAATCCAGTTTTGTTTCAATACGTATGAAAATGGTTTCACTTTTCTTTTTTTTTTTTCTTTTTTTTTTGGAAGAGGTGTTATTGAAACCTTTCCCCTCTCTCTGTTTTGCAGATGGAAATACCACTGTGAGGATATCCACGACTTGATTTCTAACAGCATCGTGGGCACTGGCATCATCGTTAACTATATCCGTACCTTCAGACAGGATGGAGCAGAGGATTTGTACATTGATCAGGTCATGTTTCTGAGAGCGCCACTGATGGACGATGCTGCCTGGGGTGAGGAATAACAGTGCACTTCTCATGTCATTTTTAGCTTTCCAACCTGTTGTAACACGCGTCCTAAATGATCTTAATCTCACCCCTTTTCCCCCTCTCTCTCTCTCTCTCTCTCTCTCTATCTATCTATCTATCTATCTCTATCTCGCTCTCGCTCTCTCTCTGTCTTTCTTTCTTTCTTTCTCTCTCTCGCTTTCGCTCTCTCGCTCTCTCGCTCTCTTTCTTACTCTCTCTCTCTCTCTCTCTTTCTCTCTCTCTCCCTTTCTCTCCCTCCCTCTCTCTCTCTCTCTCTCTCTCTCTCTTTCTCTCTTAAAATGAATCATCCATGGGGCATTCTGAAGTTCGGTTATTTTGGAGAGTTTAAGGCCCTCTACACACTTGGCTCGGTCCTATCAGGGTTGGCCGCTTAATTCCGAAGTTTCGCCTCTTAGATAAGCTTACAATGTTGAAAGAGGCGTTAACCTTATAGAATGACCAATGACACGTTCTCTTCCCCTCAGATGGCATTGCACTCATGAGAACAGCACAGGCTACGCCAAACGGGGCTTACATTGACAAAGTGGAAGTGAGTGAGACCGCTAGCAACACGTACGAAGTGAAGCTGTTCCCTCACCACTGTGGTTTTGACTTCCCTCTACCAGAGATCGCTGCTGCTACGGTCAGTAATGTCAGATCGTTTGTTTCTTCCCTTTGTCGCTTGGCTTTTTGATTTAGCAGATATCTTTCTATCTAAGTTTGCTGTTTTGCCTTTTTTTAAATGTATCTATTAGTATTATCATTAATATCACCTTCATTATTATTCTTAATAGTATTACCGTTATTATTATTATTATTATTATTATTATTATTATTATTATTATTATTATTATTATTATTATTATTATTATTATTATTATTATTATTATTATTATTATTATTATTATTAATATTATTATTATTGCCATTTTTATAATTATTATTATCACCATCATCATTTTGCTTATTTTTGCTTCCTTAAGAAATGTTTCCAAATGTATACATATATTTTTTTAAGATGAAAAGGTGGGCAGGGCCGGAGCGACCTGTAATTCAACAGTTGACATCATGTATGAAGACATGTGAGAATTAAGGGGAAAAAAGCCTACAATTCAATTTTCTTTCATCAGACAGAAATAATGCGTTCATTTTCTTAAAAGTGTATAACACAGTCGTTGTCTTATTCATCTTTTGTAACATTGCTGTTTTCCTTTTCAATTTTGTTTTTGTTTTTCAAAGTTACTAAAATCCACCTCATTTTGGCACTCGTGTAAAATTTGAACAACGTGACAATGCGACTTTTCCCTAGGACGTATTTTTAATCAAATAATGTATCAATACAAGTTCTGTAAGACTTCCTTCCTTCTCCCTTTGTCTCGCAGAAAAGCGGCTCTACCTACAGAATTACAAACGGGGGGAACGTCGGTGTAACCATCGCCAGAACACAGACTGCCTCTCCGCCTATTGCCGGAACGTACAAAGTGACATTCGACGGCGACACCAGCCCAGGTATCCCACGGATTGAATGAGCGGCTGTCTTGTTTTTTGTATTGACTTTTGGCTCTAATGTCATCTTCATGTCCATCAGCGTGATATCATAATATCTTTGCTTCTCTATGTGCTTCGACATGCCTGCTACTACAAAGTCATTAATTATGTTAATGGCAACCTTTTCTTGATTCCCCATAGGTTAAAAGATTCCAAAAGTGTTCATCCCTATCATTATCAACTAAATATGTCAACAACAACTACAACAGAAACAAACAAATACAAGATCAAAAGCAATAATGACACTGACAAGAGTGTTTGTATTACATTAGAAAAAACTTAGGAAAAGGTGAGAAGTGGTCGTTTGTATAGGTGATTGTCTCGGACATGTCATAGTAGCCGTGAGAGCAGGTTTGACTGTACTTTTACCCTTTACCTTTCCTTGTGACGTGGGTGGTGGAGTGGTTAGGCTAACGGACTGGTAATCGTGAGGTTGTGAGTTTGGAGGTTCGAGCCTCAGGCCTGTCGTTGTGTCCTTGGAAAAGGCATTGTACACCCTGGTGTGAATGGGCACCCGGATATAGACAACGAAAGATCTTGTCAGTGTGTTAGTGTTTTAATGCCTATAAATGGCAGCTTGCATTGTATGCTTCCTAGAAACTATAATGCTATCAAGTCTGCTGGTGTAATAATAATAATAGATTGCAAAGCACGTAGAGCTTGCTGTTGCGCGGGAATTTGCGCTGGACAAATGCTATCTATGTATCTAATGTTATTATTATTATTATTATTATTATTATTATTATTATTATTATTATTATTATTATTATTAATATTCTATCCACCACAGCCCACATCCCAGTAACCACAGAGCTGGACTCGGACGCTGTTGTGAGCAACCTCATGGCGATGAGAGTCGGTTTTGCCGAGGTCACCGAGAGTGGGAGCTGTTCTGAGTTCACCTACAGGGTGAAGATGCTCTCTCACACCGGGAACCAGCCACTCATGACGGTGAGTCAGCTATTTATCCTGCAGCGAGAGTAGGGGTGTGGCCTTATCTCTGTTTATATTGGGCTCTGGTGTGTGCATGTTTATATAGATAGATAGATAGATAGATAGATAGATAGATAGATAGATAGATAGATAGATAGATAGATAGATAGATAGATAGATAGATAGATAGATAGATAGATAGATAGATAGATAGATATGTGTGTGTTTGTGTGTGTGTGTGTGTGTGTGTGTACATAACCATACACTATATAGAAAATATGAGGGAAAAGATAGAGACACAGAGAGAGAGAAAGAGAGAGAGAGAGAGAGAGAGAGAGAGAGAGAGAGAGAGAGAGAGAGAGAGAGAGAGAGAGAGAGAGAGAGAGAGAGAGAGAGGGGTGTGAATATCAGAATATACTTTGATATAATATTCCAGACAAGAGTGATTTTACTAAAAAAGAGTACTTGTGTCTTTTGTCTGCTTCCATTCACACAAGACAGGAATGTTACTCACTGAGTAAAACCAGTGACACGAACAGGTACTTCCCGGGACGCTTACATGTATATATAATACTTGAAATTGCTTGTATTTCTGAAAATCATTCGACAACTATTCATGTTCTTCATAATTAGACTTTTGGAAACTTTTAGTAGTATGACTCCACGACGATTCTTCCATTCCCTTACTCTTTCTACCAGGTGGATAAGACCAGGCTGACAGGTACGAACGTGGATGCAACGGTTGACACAGTCGTTGACGGTGGTGTCTGGTTTGACCCCATCATGGGTGACCTTCTCCGAACATATCACACCAGCGCCCAAGTCACTGCTTTCATCAACAATGTTCCCACTTCCTGCCTGGATGACCAAACCTGCCAGTACGCATGGTCGTCTGGTTTGACGCCCACATTGTCTTCGATAAACCCAACTTCCGGTGAGCTTTCCCCTTTAGTTGTTCCTTTTGTTGCATGCATGTCTAGGCATGCTTCTTGGGTATATTATCAGTAGATTTTGACACATCATTTTTTTTTAAACCATCAAGCTTCATAGCTTTCATCGGCAAATATTGTGGGAGCAGTAGTACAAAACTAAGTTACCAGTGCAAAGAAATCTGCAGCACTACATATCCTTTCACAGAAAATACACTAATATAGCTCCCCACAATTCAGTGCGGAGTTTCTGAACTAGGATACCCTTATCAAGGCCAGGGACCCTTCATATGACAGCTTTTGTCCCTTAATTAACATTGGACATTTTCGTTTATCCATTCCGTCTCAGGCTCGATGGGTGCCGTTGTGACCATCAGTGGTTCAGGCTTTGACGGCGCGACCCTCAGCAATAACGAGGTGATCATCGGCGCCACACCCTGCACGGTCACAGGAGCGACCACCTCACAGATCACGTGCACGCTCAACAACGGCCCAACTGGAGATGCCAATGTGGCTGTCACTGTTGTAGGAAAGGGCTTGGCATCAGGGACGCTCTCGTTTGCTTACGTCACAGGCGTTACTGGCTTCACATCAGCCCCAGGAAGCGTTGAAGGTGAAGAAATCCAGCAGTGTAGTTTTTTAGATTCTAACCTATAAAAGTTAACAAAGCGAAATGAACTTTTAAAAATAATTATAAGAAGTTTTGTTGAGGCTTTTTGTTCTCAATATAAAGACGTTATCACTGGGATACAGGTGAAAGTAACAAAAAAAATGGCTATGAAAGGTGTACTTTTACAAAATTGTAAACATCCCGATATAGAGAAAAAGGATAACAACAGTTCTGCTTTATCCATATCGTGATACCTGATGCTGCCTTACAGAATTACTCATCTCCCTATTTTGTGTCTATTTCAGGCGGAACCACGTTGACCATCACTGGCTTTGGCTTCACGCCTGATGCAGAGGTCAAAGTTGACAACTCTGACTGTACCATTTTGACCAGTGGCGAATCCGAGATCACTTGCAGGACACCCAGAGCGGTACGTGGCGATGCCTTGTCGATGCGTGATGTGAATGTGGGTCTCCATTCATGATTATCATTAGCATGAGTCTTAAAAAAGGGAGGGGCGAGGGTGAAATCACAACGGGGAGTTGGTCTTCGTCTGCGAAGATTTTCCATTCTTAAAAAAAAGAGGGGGGAATTAAGTCCTTCCATTTAGAACTTACTTAATGTTGTACACACATTCAGGGTCTCCACTTTCCGTAGGGCGGTGTGTGGGTCACCGTGATGCTATATTTATGAAAAACACTTTTCACTTATTTCATAAATGGAGGACCAAAATGTAATTTTACCAGAACAATACGCAAAGCCTTTTCTAAGTTACCACATAATGTGGGTCTGCTGAGGCTGGATTGATGTTTTTATTTGCTGTTGGGTTTTTTTTGTTTGATTGTTTGCAGTTGTTGTGTTATTGTTATCGTTTGTTTTGATTTTGTTGTTGGTATTTTTGTTAGGGGGTTCTGGTCGTGTCCCTTTTTTGTTTTGGCATTTTTGGCTTATTCAAATTTGTTTGAGGAGTGGACTTCAGATTAGTTGATCAAACGAAGAATGTCAAAGGTAATATTTAACTTTGCAGGCTTCGCACACGAGCTCCCAGACGGTGGACGTAACTGTCGTCCAGGCTGGCAGTTCTGAGGTGGCTGGTCAGTTCACCTATGACCCCAGCCTGCCGTACACGCCTGTCATCACCGCCATCAGTAGGACCACGAGTGAAGTCTGGGGTAAGAATTGTCTTTTTTTTAAAACTTTCCTGCATGTGTATTTGACAACGTATTTTACACCGATCAATACAATTAGATGATTAAGGAGATGGGCTGCCTCGGCCTGTTTCGGCCTGTCATTCAGGCCAACCCGGGCTTAGAGGAGCACAACATCCAAACAGGCATACGAATAAGGTCTGTAAGAAGAAAAAAACCTTCCCCTCACAGTAGTCAAACTCAAGTCTTCAGGCACATACAACTGCAATGAGCCTTATCATTACACTACAAGCGTCTGTCTTTTATTTCAAGATCCATGATCTGACAAGTACGCGTTGAGAATTCGAACGCATATGCTATACGACTACATCGATTTCCTCAAAAATTCTCTTATGTAGAATGGCAGACATCTATCTACTTTGACTGCTGGTATAGTACTGTTACTTTAAGTCCTGAGATATTATGTCGTAGATGGATTCGCTTCAACTTTTTATTTTAACCCGGGCATAGAATATTTTCTAAAACAAGAACTAATTATGCATAGTCAGTGCGCTATTTCAGTTAATTATAATAGTAATAATAATAATAATAACAATAATAATAATAATAATAATAATAATAATAATAATAATAATAATAATAATAATAATAAAATAACATGGCATTTATATAGCAAATTTCCATAGGTTGCAATTCCCCTTGCTCTTTAGAAGACATTATTGTTATAATAGTTTAAAATTGCATACAGCATTTCTGCATTGGGATATATATATATATTTAATATCACCAATATGTCAACAACATTGTACAATCATGTAGACTTGTAACAATGCACATGTATTGCAAATTTATCGTAAATGTTCGCTGTCCGCGCAGGTGGCTCCACTATCACCATTGACGGCCAGGGTTTCGGCAATACCGAAATGCCAGTGACGCTGGGCGGTGTGGCAATGGTGGTGAGCGGCTACACGGACACTCAGATCGAAGCGACGCTCCCAGCGCTCTCACACGGCTCCTACATGCTCAGGGTGGATGTGCAGAATAATGGCTATGCAGATTTGAGGTGAGAACAGAGATATTACTTTCACGTTAATGATGAAATATGATTTTTTTCTTAGATGGAAGTTCATGAAAGGGGGGGGGGGGGCGTGTGAGCGCCTCCCCTCCTCCCCCCGCCCCTCTCTCCCCGGAAGAAACTGTTACGCTTTGTTTGATCCCCCCCCCCCACATTTTTTTCTTCCCGCGCCCGACCGGGAAAAATCTAATGAAACCTACATTCAACAAACACAACTCCCATCCCCACATCGTTTTTGTTTAATCAGTTAACATTTTCAATAGATTACTATACTATGTTCGTAAGGATTTCAGCGTGTCGGTCGCTTGTTATCTTTATTTTCCGCAATGATTTTATAACATAATTTTGTTTCACTAATAAGCTTACCATTCTTTGCCTCTTCGTCTGTTAACTACGCTTTGTTTTGTTTTTACTTCTGCACTGATAAGACCTTTTTTGTATTGCAAATGCTGTAAAACGTGTACTGTAACTGTGCTTTTACTTCTTTTTTTTCCAGACAAAATAGCATAAGCGACATCACGTACACGTTTGAGGTGACAAGCATGACTCCAGATTTCGGCTCTCTCTACGGCGGCACTGACCTCCTGATCACAGGCACAGGCTTCAACACTAACTCCTCCCTCATGGATGTCTCTGTGGGCCCACACAAGTGCGACATTTCTTCCGCGACTCTCACCAGCATTGAATGTCGCATCGCCGACACGGGAGTCACGCACACCATTTCTGCCACGGGGACCCATGTCAGTGAGTCAAAGTTGTTATAGTTCTCGAGACGTTTTGCTCAACATCTCGTAATCAACGCTCACAAATGGAGGCGGTATCTTTCTCCCAAAACCCTCAGTTCCTTAATTCAATTTTGAACTGAACACGTGGAAAGACATTGTAAATGTTGTCCCTCCACACTCAACTCCATCTGTATACTTGGGTATAGTGAATAATATCCTTACAAGGATAGGAAAAACCAGGACCCTACTTGGTTTGAAACTCCTACCCTCTAAATGGTGTAAGTTCTTCTACAAACGTGTTTAATCGTCAACAAAACGTCTTCTTTCTAATTTCACCCGAAATAAAGAATTAATTGCAGATGTCTAAGCATGTTCAAAAACTGCTCTCATAGATTCCAGTAAGAAGCTTATATTTTTCTGTTCTTGACTATGGGATATGCAATGTTGAGTCCATTGAGAGAAATTCGTCATTTAGTATTCCTGTCGGAGTTTTCATCTTGGAGTCCTTTTTAAACGTTAAGGGTGTGTTTAAAAACATAATTCCTCCCCCCACCCCCTTTTCCCTTCTTTGCCTTTCCCTTCTTTTTTCTGTTATCCATTCATCCGTCCAGCTTTCATTAATTCGTTCATTCATTCGTTCATTCATTCTTTCATTCAGTCATTTGTTCACTCATTAATTTGTTCGTTCCACTACCATCACTTCCTTCTCCGTCTTATCTTTTCAGCAAATGTCCATATATTCACATTGATTTATCTCTATTCTATTTTTAGACTACGGTATTGGCTATGCCTGGGACAAAGACCCCCACACAGTCAACGTTGGAGATTACGTCACCTGGACCTGGTCAACCCCCACCTACGTCTCTGACATCGGCTACGGCGTGCACCAAACGGAAAGAGCCGGCGACCTCTTCAGCCTAGAAGGCGGTTTCTCTTCTGGAGAAAAGACTCGCGTCGGTAGGGCCAAATACAACTGTTGAAATGAACAATTATGAGTGTGATTATATAAATCCTCGTTGACAATAGTTACATAAATCAGAAGCGAGCTGCTTTGACACTACCCATTACAGCATACCCAGACTATGAGGAATGCATTCCAGCATATAGGTGAGATGCTTGATAAAGTGAGTTCCCGCCTCAGGAATCGATCTCACATCTTCTTCATGCAACGAGGGGTCTACCCTTGCACTACAGACGCCAATTGTACAGGGAAAATATTACTTGAAATCGGTACTATAATTATGTAAGTATGATATAAGATTATTGTAAATGGATATGACTTCACAATGAAAAAAAACCAACAACATTGTGATTAAAATAAAGCAAGAACAAACAAGCATATAAACAATTAACAGCATTTCTTTTCATCAATCGTGTAACACACTCGGTTTACTTTCAGGGTCTTTCACACATCGATTCACTGTTCCTGGCACGTACCCTTACTGGACTGGCTTTATGGATTCGGCCATGACCATTTTCTTCCGTGGCACCATCAACGTTGTGGCCTTGGAATCTCATGCCCAGGTGCTCTCTGTTTCACAGCTGGGAGAGGAGGCACACTATGACACCGGTGAGTTGGCTGCATGTTAACGTTGACTTGATCCAATCAGCTTGCGGAGACTTGCTCTAGCTTTCTGGTATCAAATTCGCAAGCTGCGGGCCAGGAGGCTAAAGCTAAAATTTAACTTTATTTGAGTATAGATATTATCACTGTTTTCGTTTTGTTTACGTCTCTCTCTCTCTCTCTCTCTCTCTCTCTCTCTCTCTCTCTCTTTCTTTCTTTCTTTCTTTCTCTCTCTCTCTCTCTCTCTCTCTCT